GTGCCAATATATTTTTGTTCAGTCATCGATTTGTGGTACTATTTTTTTATATACCAGACACCACACTAAAAATTTCAATTTCGATCTCTATATCAAAACTCGAATTATTCATATTCTAAATAATTGAAAATAAATTCAGTAGTCGACTTCGCAATAAAAACGACCCCCAAAATATAGTCTACATACGTTATAGAAATATTAGAGATATTAAAATAAAAAATCAAATACATACTCGTAATTTCTTCGTAGTATATCCATACAACGTTACGAACTACAGCTTCTTCTCCATCATGTGATTATCAGTCAACAAACGACGCGATTGCTCTAATGAGGCCGCAACCAAGCATCAACGCAGCGCTGGAAATTGCTTCGTACATTTTTAATAGATTCGTTTAAAACGCTTTTTTATTCATCCGCTAGCCGCGGAATGGCTTTTAAAAACTTTGCAGCACAGGCTAGCAATTCGTTAATAGATTTTAAAAATTAATATGCTTACGCAATTACCGCCGGGCGGGCTGTCATTTTCGACGGCCCTAATGAAATAAGGCCATTCACTAACGCTGTTACTCTGTCCTTTGATAGCGACGTATTAAAGTAAAAAAGCGGTACACGTTGGGACTAATCCAAATTGACATGATCCTTATTAAATTAGTTTGGATGTAACCGAGTTATACGACCGGCGGTGCTACTCAAAAACTATTTTATGAATAATAGATGGCGCCGGCGACCAATCCCGGGGGACCGGGGCGCCCCGCCCAACGGCGCCTTCGCCCCGCCGCCGCCCTGTCTCAACCCCGAACACCCCCGTCCTGCCTTCTCTATTCATTAGCACATTACCACCCCTCGGACACATAAATCGGATGGGATAACACAAGCATCAGATTTTTTTTTTCACTTTCGAGATATTCTTAAAGTGACTTAAGTTTTGAATTGATTGATTAATTCGCAATTGACTAATAATTTTTTAACAGTAATTATTTGAATTTGAATTAATATTTCTTATCTAAAAAATCGTTCGTTATTATTTTTAAATTATTACGCCCATTTTTACTAATAATAATCTATAAAGCTGACCTATTAAAGAAAATATAAATTAAAACAGTCAAAATAATATACTTTCATTATAATTACGTAGATGATTTCACGCATTAACTACATTCGTAATTATATTTATTCGTTCGTTTATTACAGGCTGTCAAATCAAATGTCAAATGTCCACAGCTGAACCTAAATCTTCACCATAGATTGCCTCATATGGAGGATAACTGTTAATAGTTGGCACGATTGGCCGACGAGTTGGCAATTGCAATTAACTATCATTTTGAGTTTTTATCGAGACGATGCTGCTGCTTGGCTCATGTTGTTATTTCAAATTTTACTGCAAATTTTAAGAAATACCAATTTAAGCAATGATGACGACGTTAAAAAGCGTTTAGTGCTACCTGCCCTGCCCTTCTGCGCTGCATGCATATTTGTCCAGCACGAAGTACGCGTAGGTATATATAACATTCTTTATTTGAAACGTGTTTTTCTTATTATCAAAAAATCAATTATAAAATAAATAAAGTAGCGGATTAAACATCTTATTCAATAACGTGCCTTTCACATTATCGATAAATATTATATTATGATTATCGCTCAAAACTGAGAACTCGAACGTCAAAGTTCTTTCCCGGCGATTAAATTATAAGTTTTATGTCGATTAATATAATGTATTTTGTGTCCAAAGTTCATCGTGAACTTAATATGAACTTACAAATTTAGTGACAAAATTAGTTATAAATATTTCTGATGATAAATTTAGACTTGGACATGCAATTTACAATGTGTAAATACTTAAAAAAAGAACCAAATATGCCAAACGAACAAACGTTCATAAAACAAAAAAAACTTGTGTAATAAATTATTAAATCTGATCAGTTTTAGACGGAAAAAATAAAAAAAGAACAAATATGCAAAACGAACAAACGTTCATAAGCAGACAAAAAAATATACTTGTGTAATATTTTATATTATTATAATCTGATCTAGATTAAAATTATTAATCCTAATTAAAATAGGTGTTTTAAAATAAAAAAGCACCGAAACGCAATACAATATAGAGTCACAAATCGAGATAAGGCAAGGGTCTAAGTGGCTTTAATGCCATTATCCCGGCTGCGGCTTCGTGAAACTTGGTTAGGGAAGTTTCGAGACCGATAAGTGAGCTAATCGAGGCGACTCTTGCTTATGCAGTTAACTCAGACTAGCACTTAAAGAAGACGTTACTTATAGAAATAAACTGTGTAACTATCAACTATAAACAATTTTACATCCTCCTTAACTTTATAGTGGTAACATATTTTCACGAAATTTCGGTTACCCTTAATACTCTGTATATTATCATTCATACATAAACACTCACGGCTGTCACACAGAGGGGTAGGCAGAGACTACAGACTTCCATTTGGCATATCCTGACACAGCTCTCTCGCTTCCTCCACATTAATATACGTACCCATACCTACATGCTTGTCGGCTAAGGGTAACCTACTCCTAATTTGGCCCATTTTCAATATATCGCCAATTTGGTCGATAAACTTTCGACTAGGATGTCCCTTTCCGACTCTTCCATTCACTTCTTCAACATAAATTTGCTTTTTGACTCTTTCCTCATTTATTCTTTCTACATGACCAAACCACCGAAGCATTCCTTTCTTAATCTTAATTCTTAATCATTTTGCAAACCACACTCTTCTTTTATCACACAATTTCTCACCCTGTTCCTCAGATTCAGCCCTAACATTCTTAGGGACCGCATTTCTACTGCATTTATTCTACTCTCGTGCTTCTTCTGCCACACCCAACTTTCACTACCATACGTTAAAGTAAGGGACTAACACAGCATTGTGAATTGCCATACGTGCCTTTTTTGACAGAATCTGTTATCTGACGTTTCACAATAGCGTAAAGCCCCATTTACTTTATTTCCTGCGTTCACTCGTCGTTCTATATCCTGATCATATCTCCCATCCCTGCTCATCCCAAATATCCACCCGATCAATATATTATTATTTATTTAAAAAATGTATTATTATATATTTAAAAAAACTATTACGATATACTTATTTGTAATTCTTTAATTTTTTTATATAACTTTTTGAAATTAAAATGCTGCTTACCACTTGCTATGAAGGAAAATGTCGTAAGGAAACGAATAAGCTTGAGAGGTCAAAATTTATGTATTTTTAAGACATCTAGAGGTTTACGGAAACACGGACTGGGCCAGCGCAGTGAACTAATTTTGCTCCATAACCCTCTCAAAAATAGGCTCTAGCATTAAATCGAATTCAAAAAGGCGAAAAGGTTAAATTCATACCTATGGATGGATAAATAGGGAATAAAGATTTTAATGCACCTCTTCCAATATTTAAATAAAATTGTAGTCTTTACCTTGAACTTCTATTATTTTTTAAACCACTCTAAAGGGTAAAATAATTAAACTTTTATTATTTCACTATAGTTATATTAAAATATTTTATTTCAAATAAATAAAGTATATTTCACATAATAGTTTCAGAAGTCAGGGCTTTACTCGTAATTATTCGAGAAATAACTTCAAAAATCTAAAAAATTACATATAATAATATTATATGTAACATATTTTTAATAATAGTTTGTAAAGTCGACTAATTTGTAAAGTGGACAGACTTTACAAGCTATTATTAAAAATATTTTGCACATAATATCATTATATGTATTTTTTTTAATTTTAGAGTTATTTCTGCTTTTCATTAAAAGTTTAATTGTTTATTATTATTATGTATTTATCATTAATATTAATCAATAACTTATTGCATATGTCTATAAAAGTTAATTAAGTAATTAACAACTATATCATGACAAAATTACAGGTCAGATTTTAGCAAAAAAAAATTATTATAATTTTATTTAATAAAATATTACAACCGCAAGTTATATGTTATTGACAACAAATATTATATTTATACCTAATTATATCATAATGTAAAACGTAATAAGAATTGTTGTTAGTACGAAGAACTAATAGTACCTAACTAGTAACTACGTGTATTCTGTGACATAACCTAAGCAAAAGTCAATAATATCGTAGTACAGGAAAGTCTGAAGTGTAGAATAGTAAAGAGATTTTCTAATGATGACATAGTGCATGATTTGTATATTTTTTTACTTACTTACTTATATTTTTTTACAAATAAAAAATCCAAAATATTAAACGATAGTAAAAATTTTATCGGTTTAGATCCGCTTAGTAAAATAATAATGATATGTCTCACCTAGTTTGTATAGTACCTCCCGCCCTCTCTCAATTACTTGCACTATACCCGTCAACACTAATCCCAGCACCACTACTCCAAAGCCTAGGAAAGAAAGACAATCGGTGATAATAACACACGTGTTTCGCCTCTACACGTGGCATCTTCGGGTGAAGTAGAATCACTCACTAAGGGCAGGAGGTGTTTTTCAAACCAGGTAGCAGCAGATTTTCAATATCGGTACTATAATGGATTTCCGCAGTTTCAAGTAGAACGTGGTTGAGCCACGCTGCAACTATATTATGGTTGTAGCACGAATAGGTCGGCTCGACCGAGGTAGGACCACACTCTCACAGAATACTGAAATAGCAGTTTAATGCTGCTACGTTTCGTATGGTGAGTGCGGAGAACCGGAGACCCTTTTTACTGGAAACGAGGCATTCCATCTTAGTCCTTGGGGGTGACAACAACGCATCTTCATTTTCATATTTAATTGACAGGTGGACTGTGTGCGCGTTTGTCACCCTATTCTATAAAAAAATAACGCTTCATTCTATGAATTGTCCTAAATAACCTCAACTGCAGTATTAATCCTTGGCGGGAATCTAGCTCGGGTTGATAACTATACGAGGAAACTTAAAGGGAGCGATTAATCCATAATCTACCACAGTTATCTTTCAAATATTCAAAGTTGTAATACGTGGGAAAATATTTTTTATTACTTACAAGGGTGCGAAGCTGTGAAGGGATACTCCAGGGTAGGCAGCCGGTGCTGATGCGGCGGCAGGCTTGGCGGGCAGTGGTAGCAGAACAGGCCACGGCCGCCGCCGCCGCCGTTCGCCAACTGCGGCAAATATTCTTGTTTACTATCATAATCTACAGCACTACAAAAAAGAGTTATAAGTGAGCCATAATCCTTACGATTACCGTTATAGTTATTATTCCAATGCTGAACTTGGGGCTCCCCCTTAAATTGCCCCATAGAAGGGATATTTTTCATCATTGCCACTCTTGGCGACCACAGTTTTTTTTATTTTAGTCCTTATTAGGAAGATACACCGAAACACACGGTACAATAATCCTTAGTCTATTACTTATACTATCATACAATAAAATATTTCAACAATATAAGTGACAGAGCCATTATACTTAGTCGGGTCATAAGTTCTGTAAAAACCTTATTATTTAAAAAATTTGAATACTGACTAGATGAACGTCGCCAATTTAAAAAAAAACGTTTGCGCTTTCCGAAATGAAAAAATACATAAATTTTTAATTATTTTCAAACATGGAGTGGTCGAAGAAAGAAGATAGAGTAGCGGTTATCGCGTTGCACCGCTGTGGTTACGCGCTAAACGAGATTTTCAATATTCTACAAAAATTGAAAATAAGCCTACAATTTGTTTATCGCACTATCAAACGACTCACAGCTCAAGCTTTGAAGATCGTAAGAGGACCGGCCGACCTCGTAGAGTTAGGACACCCGCGATCAGCAAAGCAGTACCTAAAGGCGCGAATCCAAAGAAATCCTGTTCGTAAACAAAAAATCTTAGCTCCTCAGATGGGCCTAAGCAGAACCACGGTCAAAAGAGTGATCAATGAAGACCTAGGACTACGAGCTTATCGTAAGAAGCCCGGACGTTTTTTGAACGAGCGTTTGAAAAACGCGGGATTAAAATACCGCGAAATTTTGTTTTCGGATGAAAAAGTGCTGCGATTGATGTATGGCCGTGTCGACTACGGGTATATATTCAAAATAGGGGAGGGCATTTTGAATAATGTAAATAAAATTGTATTCTACATTAAATTAACTTTCATTTCATATATAATTTCTATATAATTATCAAAAAGTGTATCATTAATTTTATAAAAAGTTTTTGACAGAACTTATGACCTGACTAAGTATAGCTATAGCTATGGTTGTAGTACGAATAGATCAGCTCGATCGGGAAACGACCGCGCGCTAACAGAACATTAGCGTGAAATAACAGTTTAATATTACTTTGTTTTGTATAAGTGTAGAAATCTGGTGACCCTTTTTACTGGAAAAGAGATACTCCATCTTAGTCCTCAAGAGTGGGATTCTTAATTGAGGATATACAACGACTACACAGCCCGAAAGGATATATTATGTAGGTGTCTATGGGCCACTAGGTTATCGGTTCTGCGAGCTGTATGACCGGCCCATTTCCAATTGAACCCCGTTACTGCTTTGTAACCACTAGTCACTTAATTTTATAAAACAAAGATCGTCTGTATATGTATTTGTTTAAAACTTTAAACTACTTGATGGATTTCTAACTCACCAAAATTTAAATCTTTTCTTCGCTTATATGTAAAAATATATAAAAAAATATATATGAATATTTTATGTAAAATATTAGAGAATCGTGGGCATTTAGTGATCAAAGTTGCTACTTAAACCCAAAGGCTAATTAATTGTACGCCAGCAACCGAAGTTCAATCACCGGAACTGGCAATATTGAGGTTATTAATTATAATTTAGAGCACCAGTTTATCAACTACTCGACGTTTAAGAAAATATCGTTTAAAACCACTCTGTCTACATCTGAGAGCCTGTACAAAACTATAAGATGGATTTGTTTAACTTTTTTGGACAGAATGATAAATCATTTTCAATTAAATTAATTTAATGTCTCACTCCTTATCTTTGATGCGTGTCTTGTAATATTTGTAATTCATGATAGACCGTCAACTTATAATTGACTTTATAAATTCATATCGGGCAACAATCGCATAGCGCTTAATAAATATCCATTACGTATGATCACAAAAAGGGATATAATACAACGCTTTAGCATAGAGACGATACCGCGATAATAATAGGGCGCTAGCGACCATCGCTGATAGCGCAATGCATCTAGATCACTGTTAAATATCCCGTGGTATGATATCAAGGCGCTATAGTGCTGTAATTGTGCTCACAAAGCAATAATCCAACTTAATCACAGGCACAGTGATACCGTTCAAAACGAATTCGCAACTCTGAATGAATACTAAATGAGTCGGATAGTGAGACTCTAATTTCATTTTATATTTATATATTTAATGACTTTTTTCTTACATTCCTTGGAAAAATCTTACATTTCGTATTCGGATGCAGTGAATGGGGTAACCACCACCCATAACTCCCAAACTATTCATTAAATCAAGTGATTAATAATATAAAGGTTCGCAACAATCACAAAAGAAGATTGGTGATGCAAATGAATATAACAAATACAATGTTGCATCATACTGTTAATACTCGTATTGCTAGTGACTAGAGTGCATATATCGAATAGGACCGCCGTTCACCGCAATGCAATGTGGCAATTTACTCATCGAAAATAATTGATTTATGCGATACACGTCCTTTGCTACAAACAGACAGTAAAACGTACTTTAGGAATATATAATCATGCAATGTTTCGTCTAGATTTCATCGATATTTAGCTTTTGTTATCAACACAAAAGACGTTACAAGTTAATCCTATAAATAAAAAATACGTGTGGCACTCGGTGACTGCCGCGGTAAAGCATAGCATTTTTTATCAATTTATGCAATTATAATTATTTATTTATTTTATTTATGCAGTTAAGTCTTTGATATTAAATCAAGTTACACTTTTTGATCGTGGTGACCGATAAGAAAACAATTTTTTTCTCTTATTGAATAAATGAGAAGTTAATATTGTTTAAAATATTTTTAATATCTTACAATACATGTAGGTTATTAAGGAATTTTTATCATTGAGTTAGCAGCTAGTGTACCCCTATACGCATACGTCTAGTCGCACGCACACAAACACCGTGCCGAAGTCTGCCGAACTGAAACGACGTTAGACGATGCACGGCTTTCAACGCCACACCTCCGTGCCCGTCGGAGTGGGGAGCGTGAGGTTTTTTTTCGTTACGGAATTTCTGGATTCGGTCCCCGCGCTCAAGGCCCGCGATAGAAGCTATGCAATAGCTTAATAAAATCAAAACCAAACCCAAGCATACTACTGCAAGGCTTGATACCATAAGTTCATTCTGTGTAGTTTGAATCAAAATTAATAATGCTGAAGGTACTCCGGTTAACTATAACATCAGGATGTCAAACCGCTCAGTGCCCCCGATAACATGGGTGTTTAAACTTGTTTCGAGTAAAATTAAATACGATGAAATTCGTTAAAGTAATTTTATTTAAAATACTGATACAATTCCGCAATATCGCAAAACCAAGCATAAACAGCACAAAATACCAGCGTGAAAACGCAGCCAAACGCTGTTCTGTTTCGTATGGTGAGTGTAGAGGAGAACCTTTTTACAGGTTCGTTTCCTGGATCCTGCATTCTATCTTAGTCCTCAAGGATACATTTTAATTATTAGTCGAGGGAAGACATGGATATCTAATGGCCACTTATCATCAGGTGGAATGTTTGTGCTCGTTTGCCACTCTTATTCTATAAAAAAAAAAACGTTCAAACGAATTCATCCACTACTCCTACCTGAATTGTTTTGAGAATTACATTGTCACCACAAAGGTTGTTTTATACGTGGTGCTGCTGTAGTCTTCTGCATGGGCTATCTGCCCAGCAGGTATCGTGCCTCGGGGTATACCCCCTTTACCCGGACATTCCTCACGGCAGACTACAGTGTGCCGGTCCTGGGTGCCTTTAGTGGTAAAAGGCGTTATAGTATAAATAGCGACTTTTTGTCGCAGTCGGGTAATATGTCAAGAAAAAGGTGGTTATCTCAATATTTGTGTTTTACACAAATATTATGTCTAGTTTGACCTTTCTGCGGCATTGTGGGATTTACTCAACTCCCTAATCTATAGAGGGCTCCTCCCTACTCTTGGATAGTGAGTGCATCGGCGCGAATCCGTTGAGGAGTTCATGTAGCCCGTTGTCGGCGCGGTCGAACATACCGCGCGCCAGCCGGACCACAAATTCTTGCAGGTTCTCCATCTTTAGGTTGGCCGCTATGACGTCATTCCGGACGTAGCGACCCGCACCGACTATGGTTCGTAATGACAAGTTCTGCTGGGCCTGTAGTCGTCGCTTCTGTTGATCACTCATCAGCGCATACCAGGCCGGAGCAGCGTATGTTAGCAAGGGTCTTCTTATGTATGTTTTATAAATGGTTAACTTCGACTTTGTCGGTAACTTGGATGTCAGGACAGGACGGAGGACAGGACGGACATCGAGCTTTGCGGACAACAAAGTCGACGTGCGCAATCATGCGCAACATCCTGTCAATCTGACATCCAAGGTAGGTCACGGCCTTCTCATATGTGATCTCCTGGCCTCTGAGGGTTAGCGGTGGTGGTAGGTTTCTATAGCGGCGAGTGAGCAGAGCGGTCGTCTTGCTAACATTGGCGGCCATCCTCCACTAATCCAACCATGGTGGCAGCAGGTCCAGCAGACGTTGCATCCTGGCAGTGGCGATATGGGCTCTTCTGGACGAGGCGAAGTAGGCGCTATCATCCGCGTAAAGCGCCAGCTCGACGTCGTCCTCCCATTCGTGCAGATGCCCTGCCAGGGTAGGGATGTCATTGGTATAAGCTGCGCTAACACCTGCCCTGTGGCACACCAGCTGTTATTGGCTTTATTGCGGATTCGGCGTCCTCTACTCAGACGTAGAACTTCCTGTCTACGAGGAAAGACGCCACTAACCGCAATATAGCGGAAGGGACACTGGTCTGATCGTCTAACTTGTAGAGTAGTCCTGTGTGCCACACCCTGTCGAACGCCTTCTCGATATCGAGAAAGACGCCCAACGATGTGCGGCCGCGGTTGTGCTCGGCCGCAAGCAGGTGCAGCGCTCTGGTCAGCTGTGTTGCTGTTGATTGGTCCCTCCTGAATCCATGCTGCTCCGAAGTTGGATGCACGGGCGGAGACGTCTGAGCAGTATTCTTTCAAACAGTTTAGCTATATGCGGTAGCAGCGTGATCGGCCTGTAGCTGGCAGCTCTACGCCTGTCCTTCCCGGGTTTCGGCAAGACGATGATTTTGCCTTTCTTCCAGTCCTCCGGGAAGTGGGATGTCCGCAATATGCCGTTGTAGAGTCGACCTATCTCTACAAGGACTCTATTGGGCAGGTGTCGTAGTGCAGCGTTGGTAATCCCATCGTGCCCCGGCGCCTTCCTCGGTTGCAGGCGGGTTGCTGACCTCCGCAATTCAGCGGGGGAAATAAACCACTCTCCTGCAAGCGGTGGTGCGGGCGACGACAGGAACTCCTGCATGCGGCTCTCCTTCCGGGTGTGGATTTCCATGAACTTCGCACTTGCTGAGTTTGGCATAAACTGCTCCTCGAAGTGCTCAGCTAGGATATCATATCTGCCCTTGGCATCATAACGTTGTTCGCCCGCGTTGTTGGTCAGCGGGCAAACAGGTGGTCGGATTTTCGTTAACTGCCGGTTCAGTGTGTAGAGCGACGCTTGATGTTCGTCAGCCTTCCAAATGCGCCGCTCCCAGACCTCTCCTCTGTGGGCCTGTATTGCAACCGACAGTTCGTCCGTTAAGGTGCTTAGTCTTGTTTTTATTCTGGGGTAGCGAGTGCGCGCCCAGAGCTTTCTACGTCGTCCGCTGAGTGGATCGGTGTGTGGACTGGAAGTCTCTCCTGCAGGTGTTGGTGGTAGAGCCTCCAGTCGATCTTGGTCTTAACGGCTCTAGGTGGCGAAGTCACTGCCTTAGTGCCAAGGGTAATCAGAATCGGGAGGTGCTGTGTATTTAAGTCGTACAGCACCTCTACCACTACCGGGTAGTTGACGTTCCTAGTGAGCACGATGTCCAATACATCCGGACGCTTCCTAGGGTCTGTAGGGATGTGCGTCGGTTCCTCGGGACCTAGAACGTCATAGTTCTGGCTTTCTGCGTCATCATATAGTTCACGACCCGGCGGGTTGATCAGTCTTGATCCCCACGGCGGGTGTTTGGCGTTCAGGTCCCCGGCAATGATGGTGGGTGTCGTACCTTCCATAATCGTCCGGATGTCTGAGGAGTAGAATGGAGTCCCTGGCGAGCGGTATGCTGCAAAAATCCTTAGTTCCTCGCCCGCCGCCTCCATTTTTATGCCAATTGAACGCATCGTCTGGAAGTCTGGTAGATCCAGTTCTTGGCGGACGATGTCTCTCCTCACCAGAATCGCTGTCCCTTTGTAAGCAATCCCTTGAGGATTGACTTCGTCCCTCCTGTAGATCGTATAGTTTGGCAGCTTAAGATGCGTTGATGGTCTAATTTTGTTTCACCCAGCAAGATCACTTAGATGTCCTGCTGCTGGTGGACCGTGCGGAGTTCATGGATCCTTTGTTGGATCCCGTCCGGATTCCAGTAAAGCAGACGCAGGTTACCGTCCTCCGTAGTGCCTTGCCAGTAGCGATGCCAGCGCCTTCATAACGGCGGTAACTGGATCTGTCCCGGCCTTCATGTCGGCCAGGACTTGTGTACCGACCTCGATAGCTATGCCTACCAATCTGTGGATGGCATCAGCTGTCTCGAGGCCTGACGTTGGTGGTCTACATACGTGGTAGAGCCACGCTGCAGCTATATTATAGTTGGATCGACCGGGAAGGGATCTCGCTTTCACAGAATACCGGCGTAAAATAGCAGCTTAATTCTGCTGTTTCGTATGGTAAGTGTAGAGTCTTTTTTAATTGAAACGAGGCATTCCATCTTAGTCCTCAGGGGTGACAACGCATGTGCATATTAATTTTTAATCAAGGATAAATGTAGATTTTTATGGGCTACAGCACCCACTTACCATCAGGTGGACTGTGTGCTCTTTTGTCACCCTTATTCTGTAAAAAGGACCAAGATGGACTGCCTTAATACTGGTAATAAGGGTCCCCGGTTCTCATCACCCACCATATGGAACACAGCAGCATTATGCTGCAATTTCACGCTGGTATTCTGTACGAGCGTGGTCCTTGCCTGGACCTGCCGAGAGCAGACCCATTCGTAGGTCTAACGCGGAAGTACACATATAGTTCATTTCAATCTAACGAGCAGATTCTAAACCGTTATTTGAATTATTCTCAGTGACATAACTTTATTTGCGAGAGGAAAATGGCAATGAAATTCAATTGCACGCATTACGAGTCGCGGTGACCCACGTGCGGATCCGCGTCGAGTCGTTGGTATAAATGACATTAATGGAGCT